TTGCAAAATCCTAAAATCTGTTTTCATACTCCATCTTCTGCATTTTCTCACAAGCCTTTGTCCCTGTTGAACAACTCTTCCATGTTGAAATGTCTTCCCAGAGTTCACTCCACCTCTGAAGCTTGCCCCTTCTCCAGAATCCCTTCTTCCTCCTGCTCCTGCGCAATGCCTAGCATTCTATACTCAGCCCTTCCCCCTTGTTCCAAGGATCTCCCTGGATGGGCACAGCCCTCTTCGGCATCAATATGCTGATGGCTCTCAAATCTGCCTCTCTTCTCAGAAGGCTGCTGTAGAGCCCTGTGGGACAGAAAGCAGCTTTCACTAGAGCCAATTATGTTGAAGTCCAATTTATTTTCTTTAAAAAATCTCTAACATTTTCTTCATTTCTTCTTCAGTTCCTGGTATCATCAACCACCCAGTAACTGAGGCCAGAAACAACAGAGCTGCCCTGGGTTCTCTCCCCAACTCACATTCTACATGACACCTCTCTTAAGTTTTTCTAACATACCTGCTTCTTTCTGGTCTCCAAGATCTAATTTTAATTTACCTTAAAATTCCGCTCTCACCAGGATGACTACACTGTCCTACTACTGTGTTTAGCTGCCTCTACTTCCTAACCTCTGTAATCCATTCCACCCGTATCCCCAGTTTTCTTTCTAAAACACAAATTGTCGATGTCACTCTCCTGCTTCTCACTGTTTACCAAATGACAGTCAAGCTCCCAAGCATATAACAGAGAACGCTTTATATCCGTTCCACTTGCCCTCCCAGCTTTGTGGCTTAGCTGTAATGAATTGTCAGTAGCTTCCTCTTTCCTATATCTATCAAACTATTTTTACTTCTATTTTTCCTTCATTCAATACACGTTTACTGAGTGCATACTACGCACCAAATACTGTAAGAGGCTTTAGAAATTCAGCAATAAAGAGCTGAGTCCCTACCCTAAGAAACGGTATCTAATGGCAGATAAGGTACATGTAATAATATTCTTATTAAAATATGCATCCACAGTTATCAGATCAATAAATGCATGATCAAATAAGAGATTTTGAAAGGCAGTGTAATAGCATGGCTATACCAGGGGCCACTGGACAAACTGCCTTGGCTCCAATCCCAGCTCTACCAATTTCTTGTTATGTGACCTTAAGCAAGTACCTTTGTTTCCTAACCTATAAAGTAGAGATCATAATAATTCCTTTTTTAGAGGGATGTTGTAAAGATTCAATGCGTTCATGCTTGTGGAGTGTTTAGACTGGGGTCTGGCACATAATAGTGCTGACATTGTTTCCATTTGTGTTATTGCTGTGCCTCAAGAGTTACATCACTGTGTGTGAGAGTCACCAAGACCAGCTTGCACAGCTTGAGGGGGATAAGAGATGTTTTTCTTAGAAGGAGTTAATACCTAAGCAGGGTCTAAAAACCTGACTTAGCCAGGTGAAGAAGACCTAAAGGGGTTGTCCAGGTTAAAAAAAAAAAAAAACAGGGAAGGTATGGCGTGCAAGTAACACTGGAGTGATCAAGTAAGATGCATTCCAGGAAATCTCAGGAGAATGAGAGGGTTACAGGAATGAGGTGGGAAGGAAAGTTAGGCCAGACTGTAAAAAATTATCCTGTGTGCTGTAATAAGCAGTAGGGATTTTATTCTGAAGCTAAATTATTGCCTCCAAGTGAGACACTGAAGGGTTTCAAACAGGGAATGATAGAATCCTATTTCTATTTTAGAAAGCTCATTATACAGAGCTTTATGAGGTGTGGAGAAAGCAGGAGCAAGGAAACAGGCAGGACACACTTTAGCAATTCCCAAAGGAAGCGATGTGACCTTATCTAAGGCAGGTCAGTGGGAATGTGAAGAGAAAGATGGAATCTCCTATCCTTTTTCCTTAAACTGATGCTGACTCTTCAGAGCTTGCTCCCTAGGATGCCTTTCCTAAGGACCACAGGCAAATTTAGCTACCTCTGCAATCCACTGACTTGCCATTTACATCCCAGCCTTCAAGAACAGGAAGTGGGTCTTTTCACTTTTACATCAATATTTAGCACTATAAGTTAGGACAAGGTCTTTCAGGTGATGATACATGTTTGCAGAATAAAATCCTTCAGTGAATGTCTTTTAAGGAAAGGGATTACAGACTATCTAAGACATGGCTAGTATGTTTTCTGATCTTTTTGCTTTTCCAATATGCATAGCCAACAACACAGTCTTATACCAATAGCTGTCCTCCAGTTCCACAAAGCAGAATTTGCTTTGTTTAAATTGTTTAATTTGATTAAAATCAACAAATGTACTATATATGTTGTAATTGAAAGGCATTGGGTACGGTATATAGAGATTGACATTTTTTCCTCTCTTTTTCTATATATATAGATATATATATATAAAAGATAATGCTCACCTAATGCAAAAAATTATTACATGTTAAATTTATATTATTTTTATTTGAGGTAATAATTAATGTGTCAATTAAAAGTAAATAGGGCCAAAATAAATATATGGTTTATAGCACCAATCATTTCCCTTATCATTCCTGACAGCAAGAAGCCATCACTCTTGTTAATATTTTTTCCATCCTATCTTGGATCAATTAATGACTTCAATTGAGTAGGTGCTATTGAAAAACTCAGTGTTTTCTTTTCATCCTGGGCTGAAGAGCATTTTTAATAATATCTATGTCTACCATCACGTAAATCATATTTTTGTGCAACACTACTACACAAGCCTTTTTTTTTTCTCACCAGTTGAGAATTTTTCCCAGTGACTTTTCTTGGCTTTTTCTTTTCATCTTAAATAAACCAAACCAACAATTCATTTACAATATGAAAGATTAAAAACTCTAAAGCTTAAAACAATCAGCTTTTAGGTAATAATAAATGTTAATAAAATTGACATGTTTTTCTGACACAATGTAGTTTTTGGGATATTAATGTTCACTGCTATATGGTGTTCTATACTTTCAATAATGAGAAAATTTTCATAGTCTGAAAACAGATTTACATTGTGATAGACTTCTTGAGCTTGCCATATAGACAAGGACATTTTTTTCATTCCATAAGTCACAGAATAGAAATCTGTTTAACCTGAGAATACTGATTGATTATAAGGTTGAAACTATAATTAGAATGGGGTTTTCTCACTCAAGAGTTATATATGTAAACTAGCAGCAGTTTGCCAGTAATAATCATCAGGTATTACATTACTTAGGTAAAGTGATACTGATGATGTATATATTACTACAAATAATAAATGGTATTTTCTTAGGCTTTTCAAAAACCAATATAATTTTCCCTTATTCTCTCCTAAGTCCATTAGATTCTCTTTAGCAGTGAAATAGTAGAAATTTTCTTCAAATTCAATAATGCAATTCCCGTATTAATATATCTCCCCAAAATATATCTGTGTAAACAAAAAATGATAATATGCTTATACTGATTGTGAAAAGGGCATGACATTTATAAAAACTGACTTCAAATGTATTCATTGTCAAGATACTTAATAAGCCAATCAGAGAAAGACAAATACTATATGATTTAACTTACATGTGAAATCTAATGAGCACAATAAACTAACAAACAAAATAGAAACATATAGATAGAACAGACCGACAGCTCTCAGAGGGGAGAAAGTAGGGGGACTAGGGGAAAAAGGTAAAGGGTTTAAGAAAAAAACAAAACAAACAAACAGAAAAACCTCATAGACAGACAACAGGCTGGTGATTACCAGAGGAAGATGGGGCTAAAGACAGGTAGAAGAGGGTAAAGGGGGGATGAATGGTGACTGAAGGAAACTTTACTTCTGGTGGTGAACACACAGTATAATATCCAGATGATGTATTATAGATTTGTACACTTGAAACCTACATAATTTTATTAACCAATGTCACTCTAATAAATTCAATAAAAACAGAAATAGATGTATGGCTTAGAAAAACTCATATTTAATCCATCAACATTTTTTAAGTGGCTGTCATATGCCAGGCACTTTGCCAGGTCCTGGGGAACCAAAGAGCACTTGTGAAGCTCAGTTTCTCAAAAGTGGCATCTGTCATTTTTCAGAAGAAAATTTATGTGAAGTGGGAAATGCTCCATGAAGACACAAGTTGGGTGGAAGCTCAAGAGGTAGAAGGATTGGATTCGTGTGAAGGCATGGGTCCAGGTTTTCACTTTTTCAGTGTGCTTGTGTGTCCATGCACATGCATGTTTATGTACACATGTGTGTATGTGTGTCTGTCAGAGTTTGGTATGGATGAGAGTCTGGATGTATATGAGGAAGTCACAAAGCAGAAGCCCTTTAATGTGAGTACTTAAAGTACACTTAATCTATCTAAAATAATACAGTACCTATCATAAGCCTAAAATAGTGTATACAGCTGAAAAAACATATAGATAACATAAGACATGATCAAATATTAAAATCAATAAACAAAAGTGATAGGAAAGTTAAGTGGTAAATTAAGCAGATGTGTTTTTGCAGCATCGTTTTTGCAGAATTCTAAAATTACCAAGATCTACATGTATATTTCCAGTACAATTAAATGTCATTCATGAGAAAAAAAACTGAGAAAAGAAGATAAATTTCTCTTTCTCATTTTTTTTTGTTCACACTTAGTATTTTCAGAAGTCTACAGATCTTTATCAATAATTGCTAAAAAATTATTAGGGGTATGAAAGGGTCAGTAATTCAATTTTTAAAGAATCATCACCTGAGGATATGTTCATTGATGAGAGAGAGAGAGAGAGAGAGAGGGAGATTGATTGCCTCCCGGACACACTCTGACCAGGGATCAAATCCGCAACCTAGGTATGTGTCCTGGCCGAGGATCAAATCTGCAAACTTTTGCTGTACGGGAGGACACTCCAACAGAGCCACTTGGCCAAGGCGGTAATTCCATTTTTAAAGCATCATGGTCAAGTAAAATTAATGCAATGCTTTTACACATAGAACATAGGACCTACCATAAATAATTTTGACACAGCGACATGAAGAAGTCAAAGATGATTCTTACCTCCTTGTTCACACAACTGCTGGGCTAGAGCATCTTTGAAAATAATCTGGCCCCTGTGTGTTGCTGTAGCCCTGGAAATAAATAGGAAAAGGTTATCCAAATCTTATTAGTTTGGTGATAACTTAAGTATTTTTTAACTTTTTAAAAAACTCATTTTAAAACATTATTGTGTGGACCTGATTTTTAAAAAATCAGAGTGCATCTGAACAGTGAAAAAATAAACAATAGAGTAAAGGCTTAAACCAAGGAACCTGGGTTATGAGTTATCTTTTGATTTTACTTTGTAAAAATATTGTAACATTTGTGGGCTTATTCTGAAAACTGCAGATGTGAGCAAATCCTGAACAGAAGAAAAAGCATAAAGCATGAAAAGAATGTTTTTTAAAATTTCTTCTTCAAGAGGTCTTGATATAAAATGTTTTGTGGAACAATAATGATATTAGCACCGGAGAAGGATGCTCTTAATGTATTTTTTTCCAAAATCAATATTCACCATAACACATATAGAGGTGAGACAGAGAATTATTTAAAAAGAGGGCTATTCAAGCTTTAATAATTACACAATCTGTCATAAAATATACCTCTCCCCCTCAGTGTGTCTAATTCACCATTTGAAGGAGATGTGTGTCTTTTACCTTCTCTAATCAGAGTTGTGCACATGTAACAGTGAAAAAAATAACATCCTCTCAGCAGGTGTGTTTTTCAGTGTCTATAATAGAAACCATCTTAATAACAGAAAAATTATTTATATTTGAAGAATTTTTCCTAAAAAAAGGATTTTTCTGGTACAAAATGTATTATTTAAAAAAATTTAAAACAGAAAATCATGTCTCTTTAAGGAACCTTATTTTAGAAAATAAGCGATGCATAATCTTTTTTTAATAAGTAAAAAACATTCACATTAAATCTCAACTTTAGTTCTAGACAAAACTGCCATACGGCAAAAATAATTTGATTCAACATCATTACTGAAGACAGATCATGTATAAGGCACTGTGCTTAGTCACAAGAGGACAAAGTTTGGCCTCTGCATTTTCCCTCCACATGTGAACCCCTTGGTTAACATCTAGTCCTTTGTGTGGCCCATCAGGAGCTTGTGGCTCCCAATAGTACCTTCTCTGGCCTCCACGTGGATGTACCTTCCTTCTCTAGGCTGCAGAACTTTCTGATATCTATTCCCCATGGAATTATTACTGTCACTAGTATCAGTCCCCGAGGACCAAACTCTCTGAAAGTAATCTGATAAACTAACCCATGTTGAACTGTTAATGGGTGATTTTGCTCCAAGTTAACATATTTCAGCAAAGAAACTGAAAATATTATACTTTAGTGCACACGTACACAATGGCATAATAGTGAGAGCTTTGAATGATGGAAGAGACATAACTAGAGAGAAAAATCAGCAGCAGCATTCATCTCACACCATATGTGAAGTACATAAGGGTAATGAGCCCTTCTTGTTAAATATTAATCATTACCAAAATTACGGATAAAAAGATGCTACCACTCTGTCTACATTCACATGTTTATAGGTTTTCCTTTGCTCTTTAGCAAGCTGAAAATGAAGAGGACTAAACATAGGGACATCTAAGCCATAAACATGGCCTACAGACTCACTAATCAATTACAGGCTTCAGGTCCACAGGGAACATGTTAACTTGATTTACGTAAACACATTTCATTGTTCAAAGCTCAATCGTGTCAAGAGCTTCTGAGTTCACTTATACTTCTAATAGTGGTATAGCAAACAGAAATGTAGAATGTTAATTTGACTTATTTTTTGGAAGGGACATATTTTCTTCCCCCCACCATCCCCAGAGGGTGTATTATTTTGTTTTATTTTTGTATTGCTTAGTAAAGACCATTGACTTTGGGATTAGATTTGGGCTGAAATCCTGAATCTTCCATTGAGAAATTGTAGCTGTATAGCTGTGGAATACTTATTTCAGGTTTCTAAGCCTGTATTTCTCATAAAACTAAAAAAAAATGCTCATATATGATTATTATAAGGATTAAATGAGAAAATGATGATAATGACTTAGCTAAATGGCCAGCCACAGTTAGTGCTTAATAAATACTATCTATGATTATTATCAAGGTACAAATTTGTTCATTTATTCACCCATTTATCCAGTAATTATATTGTACAGATTACAGCAAAGCTATTTCCGTAGACACTGTGGGAAAACAAAAATGATTGAGATACTCTCCTTGCTTTTAGTAAATGAACATCTGTGTGTGTGGGATTGTGTGCAGTGTTTCATTTTTAAATTTTTTATTTTTAATGATTAATATCAATTGTTTATTTGTATTGTACTTTTTCATTATCTTTTATTCTCTTCATACCCTCTTCTACCTCCACCCACTCCCTCCTCCCCGCAATCATCACACTGTTGTCCATGTCCATGAGGTTTTTTTTTCTTTTTTGCTCTATCCCTCCATCCCCAACACCATTCCCCCAGAGCAGTCAGCCTGGTGTCTATCTATGAGTCTGTCTCTATTTTTATTGTTAGTTCAGTTTGTGCATTACAGTCCACATATGAGTGAAATCATATGGTATTTGCTTTCTCTCACTTAGAATAATATTCTCCAGGTCCATCTATGCTGTTGCAAATGGTAAAATTTTCTTCTTTTTTAGGGCGAAGTAGTATTCCATTGTGTGAATGTACCAAAGCATTTTCATTCACTCATCTACTGATGGACACTTGGACTGCTTCCAAATCATGGCTCTTGGAAATAACACTTCAATGAACATAGTGGTGCTTATATTTTTTCAAATTAGTGTTTCGGGTTTCTTCAGATAACTTCCCAGAAGTAATAAGGCAGTTCCATTTAAAATTTTTTGACACATCTCCACACTGCTTTCCACAGTGGCTGCACCAATCTGCATTTATACCAACAGTGCAAAAGTGTTCCCCTTTCTCCACATCTTTGTCAGCACTTGTTGATTACTGATTTATTGATAAAGCCATTCTGACAGGTGTGAGGTGATATCTCATTGCAGTTTTAATGTGTATTTCTCTGATGATTAGTTATGTTGAGCAAATACAGTGATAGTAGGGGATTTTAACACCCCATTGACTTCAATAGATACATCTTTCAGACAGAGAATCAATAATGAGACAGGGGCCTTAAATTATATACTAGGACAAATGGATTTAATTGATATATTCAGAGCATTTCACCCCAACGCAGTAGAATATATTCTTTTCAAGTGCACAGTGAACATTTTCTAGGAGAGGCCACATGTTAGGAAACAAAACAAGTCTCAAAAATTTAAGAAGATTCAAATTATACCAAGCATCATCTCTGACCATAATGGTATGAAACTAGAAATCAATCACAAGAAAAAAACTGGAAAACACACAAAGACATGGAAGCTAAATAACATATTATTAAACAATGAATGGGTCAACAACAAAATCAAGGAAGAAACTAAAAGATACCTTGAAACAAATGAAAATGAGAACACTACAACCTAAATTTTGTGGGACACAGGGAAAACAATGATAAAAGGGAAATTCATAGCATTATAGGCCTGTCTAAAGAAACAAGAAAATCTCAAATAAACAATCTAATTTTACATGTACTTAAAGGAACTTGAAAAACAAAAACAAAGCAAGCCCAAAGTGAATAGAAGGATGGAAATAATAAAGATCAGATCAATAAATCCAAGAGCTGGTTCTTTGAAAAGATAAAGATTGACAAACCTTTATCTAGACTCATCAAGAAAAAAAGACAAAGGACCCAATAAATAAATTCAGAAATGAAAGAAATGACAACTGACACCAAAGAAATACAAAGGATTGTTAATAAAATATTACAAACATCTATATGCCAACAGACTGGACAACCTGGACAAAATGGATAAGTTTCTAGAAAGATATAATCTTTCAAAACTAAATGAGAAAGAATCAGAGAATCTGAATACACAGATTACAACTAGTGAAACCAAAGCAGTAATAACAAAAAAAAAACAACAACCTCCCAACAAACAAAAGCCCTGGACTGGACGGCTTCACAAGTGAATTTTACCAAACACTCAAAGAAGAGCTAATACCTCTCCTCAAACTATTCCAAAAAAAAAAAAAAAAAAGAGGAGGGAAGACTCCCAAGTTCATTTTATAAGGCCAGTATTATCCTAATTCCAAAACCAGATAAAGACACTACAAAGAAAATTACAGGCCACTATACCTGACAAACATAGATGGTCAGTACCTAAACAAAACATTAGCAAACTGAATACAGCAATATATCAAAAAGGTCATACACCATGATCAAGTGGGATTTATTCTGGGAATGCAGGGTTGGTACAACATTTGCAAATCAATAAATGTGACCCATTACATAAACAAAATGAAGGATATAAATCACATGATCATATCAATAGACACAGGAAAAGCATTTGATAAAATCCAGCACCAATTTATTATGAAAACTATCAGCAAAGTGTGAATAGAGGAAATACACCTAAACATAATAAGGGCCATATATGACAAACCCACTGTCCATGTATTTTTTAAAAAATTCTCTATGTGCTTAACTAAGCAAATCATTGTGATATAATCATAATTATATGGCAGTATCCATGCTATTTTTCTTTTCATTGAATTTATTAGGGTGACATTGGTTAAGGAAAGTTTACAGGTTTCAGGTGCACAATTCTACAGCACATCTGCACACTGCATTGTGTATTCACCACCACAAGTAAAGTCTGTCCATCACCATTTATCCCCGTTAATGAACTCTTCCACCTCCCTCCCCTCAGCAATCACCACACTGTTTTCCATGTCCACGAGTATTTTCCTTTTTGCTCAATCCTTCCATCCTCCCACTTAGCCCTTCGACCTGTCAGCTATCACCCTACTCTATATCTATGAGTCCATCTCCATATTTCTTGTTAGTTCATTTTATTTATTCGATTCCAAGCCTGAGTGAAATTATATGGTACTTGTTTGGTGGCGACCACTTTGTGTGGTATTGGGAATTATAGCCCCATGCAAGCCAGGCCTTGAAAGGGGCTGTAAGTGTCGGGTGGAAAACCGCAGATGCTGGGTGGCAGACAGGGCCT